AGAGAGAGAGAGAGAGAGAGAGAGAGAGAGAGAGAGAGAGAGAGAGAGAGAGAGAGAGAGAGAGAGAGAGAGAAAGAGATGTTGACTTTAATTAAGGACCATATGGATTCAATTACCGGTTTGCCTAGTCCCCATTGTTGTTGCGAGTGTTTTTCTTTGTCTTAAATTTTGAAGCGAAGGCCGTACAAAAGGGATTTCAAAGGTAGTCATGATAGAGGACCTTACTCAATTAATTTAGCGAGAGAGAGAGAGAGAGAGAGAGAGAGAGAGAGAGAGAGAGACATAAGGGATTTCAAAGGTAGTCATGATAGAGGACCTTACTCAGTTAATTGAGAGAGAGAGAGAGAGAGAGACGCTTGGTGAGAATGATGGAAACTAGTAAGTCAATATAGGGAGAAGAAGCCAAATAAGGCGAGAAAGAAGTTAGTGAAAAATAAAGGAGCTTAGTCAGCCACATAGGGGTCCGTCTCACCCTCCTTGAAAAAGATTATGCTTTTTTTTTTTTTTTTGGTAAAAAAATAGATCGTCGTACGATGAAACTCGGCTACAGTAGACTCCGTTGTGTTCCCTTAATTGACGCTTGCCTTACGAGAGCAATGACGAAACTTGGCTGTGGCAGTGTGAAGGAAGATCAAAATCATTTTCGCTTTGTGTCTAATACTATCATCGATATCATGAATCGGCACCTTGGTTGCCTGTCCCGACTCGCCCTGGCTGCTGCTGTGACCACTGTTGTGGCGTTGCTTTCGAACCCTCCTCATCAGCGGCGGATGACCGGTCGACAGCGGCTCGTTTTTCTCACTCTCTCTCGCGCAATTCCCCGGTCCTTCGGAAGCAGGACGGAGATGTCGCCACCTGCTTCGAGGGGGTCTGAGGGTACTTGACCTACCCAGCCCTTGTGTTGATTTGACCATTTTCAGCGAGTCTCCTTTCCTTGCCCCCTGCAATGCCATTATCAGCTATGAGATGAAAGCCCCGTTCGTCAAAGGATCCGACGAGACGGGTATGGAGTGCAAGGCAGTGGTGCGCAACATCTTGTTCGATCTAACAGCCTCTAAGCTCTTCTACATCCTGGACCAGATCTGCTCGACGGACGGACAGATGACGAAGCCAATCAGACGCCTTTTGTCGTTTTACGCATCTGTCTTGGGCGCGCAAGCTGTGGAGGAGGGTAGGCTGATAAGCACCTGGTGGGCGGGGTCGGACGGGACGGGACCGCAGGTTCTGAGCGCCACGTGCCAAGACCATAAGTGCACTTTGTACATGGATCTCGCCAGTGGGATGACTCTCTCGAAGTCCGGATCTCAGCTGATCGTGTCGGGATACCATTCTGCAACTCCGCCGGGATCTTGGCTTACCACCGTCAATACCGAGACCGGGGAGAGGAGTTATGTCCGGGTGCAGCTGGATTTCGCCACCGGGATCGCTCTCGACCCCGACATGACCACTCTGTTCGTCGCCACCGGGTTGGTCCTTCCTCCTCGGATCTTGTCGTCTCCCGTTACCTTCGATAAGAATGGCGATCTTCCCTCCCAGGGACTCTCCACTCCCTCCCCTCTCTTCATGTTCGATCAGTTCCAGGAGTGGGAAACGTCATCCATTTACTTTGGACCTCACAGTTTTCCCAGCGATGGCAGGTGCTTGTACTTTGTCGATCGCAAGCCGGGCGGTAGCGTCTGGGCACTCAATCGCTCCTCGAATGCGGTCAATCTTGTCGCGGGTAGCGGATTAACCCCCCAGGTCTTGCCACTAATAGCATCTCCGAGTAACGTTAGCAGTGGAAACGGCAGTAGCAGTAATAGCAAGATAGTGATGTCTAATGCTTTGAACGTGTCTTTTGGACAGTTGTGCGACCTTGCGGTGACGGAGGATGGTCTCATAATCTTCGTCTCGGAGATCGACACAGGTCTTGTGCGGTGGATTGAGCTCGGCACTCCCTGTGGATTCGGGCGGAGAGCCACCGATGTCATCCGCTACCTTCCCCGTCCCGGCTCAGCCGTGTACGGACTAGCCATAGGAACGTACGGCAAAGGGCTCGTCTTGCTCCTTGGTACGGACGACGGACACGTGTTCCAGCTCAGCATCAACAGGTCAGCATTGGATCCCAGCAATAACCCTTACGCTTACGAACTCCCAGGCAGCTCTTCGGCACCAGATCCCGACAGATCTCATGCCTACCCCTCCCTCTCTTCTCCCCTCGCCAGGCCTGGCTTTTCGGACAAGAATGAAGCGCCGAGAATCGGTCTCGTTGTCAGTCTAGTTGTCGGTATCTCCCTCCTTTCTTTGCTTCTGTTTTTCGGGATCGGGGCGACAGTCTGTTAAGGCCGGCTTCGTCTTCAGAAGTGCTGCCATAATGGAGACTCGCCAGTAGCTTATTACGCAATCCACGGGGTCCGAGAGTTCGATTGGAAGACCTTAAGGGCAACGACAAGCAACTTCGACCCTTCTCGACGGATTGGAATGGGTGGTGGCGGCATCGTCTACTGGGGATTACTGGTGGACAGGGATCCACCAAGTCAAAGCCAGATCGTTGTGAAGGTCATGGACGGCTCGCAGACAAAGGACAAGGAAGAGCAATTCCTAGCAGAGGTGCAAATGCTCAGCCGGGTACATCATGTCCATGTGTGTGGCTTGATTGGCATCTGCCGACATGGTAGTATGTGGTTCTTGGTTTATCCTTACTTGGAGGGTGGGAGTTTGCACGACCGGCTGCATCAAC